TCCCTGGGCACCATGGGGTAATTTAGCACGGCCAATCCACCCTAACCAACACATCCCTGGGCACTATGGGACAATTTAGCATGGCCAATCCACCCTAACCAACACATCCCTGGGCACTATGGGACAATTTAGCACGGCCAATCCACCCTAACCTGCACATCCCTGGACACTATGGGCAATTTAGCATGGCTAATCCACCCTAATCCTGCACATCTTTGGATTGTGGGAGGAAACCCACAGAGACACAGGGAGAATGTGCAAAGTCCATCCAGATGGTCACCCAAGGGTGGGATTGAACCTGGGTCCCTGGCGCTGTGAGGCAGCAGCGCTAACCAGATACAACCTTGGTATCTGAATCAGTAATGGATATAACTCTCGGCCTTAACCATTCTCAAAGAGTGCAAGTAACAGGCCCCCATGGCTGCCCTTGAAAGTTTGGGGTGGGGAGCAGGGGGCAGGGGTTAGGGGCTGGGATCAGCTCACCCCCTCCTAACCTGGTCGCCCGGAGCCAATATTTACCCTCAACCAACTTCATTTTAAAACAACACAATCTGGGTCAGCGTCGCATTGTCACCTGTGGGATCCTACTGTGCGCAAAATGGTTGCCAGTGTGCAACAGGGCAGAGCATGTCACGGGATGGGAAGGTGCTGAGGTAGTGAAAGGTGCCGACAAAATGCGAATCAGTATCTTAGTAATAAAGACAGCCGTGCTGCTAGATCCAAATCAACCTCTCTAGCTTAATCCGAGGAATATTACCAGGCACAATCTAATTCCAAGCATCCGATTGGGATATTGCGGAGAAATGAACAGAAGCAGTGATAAGGAGGCTGGCGTTTAGGGAGGAATTTAGATGAGGAGAGAGAGAGAGAGAGAAAGGAGGAGAGGTTGATGGAGGGAAGTCCAGAGCTCAGGGCCCGAGACAGCTGAAGGCCCGGCCACCAATGGTGGAACAATGGGAAATGGAGCGGGGAGGCACTGTGCTCAACAGGTCCGGAAGAGGAGGGGTGTAGGGGCTGGAGGAGGTTACAGAGATAGGGAGGGGGTGTAGGGGCTGGAGGAGGTTAC